TCCAGGGCCACCAGTCCTCTCCCCTTTCTCCATACCGTGGCCCGGGGGGCGCCGGCCAGGGCCCGGGGGGAAGCAGGAAAGCCTTCCAGTCGGACCCCCAGAACCGGAGAGGGACGGCCCCGAGGAGAGGGGTGTGTTAGTTACCAGTGCTGCGGAGTTAAGTTGCCCCACACTTAACGCTTGAAACAGTTGTTTGTCGCCACAGTTTCTGTGGGTGGGAACTCGGGAGCGTTTGGCAGTCTGGCTCAGCCCCTCGTGAGGCCGCAGCCTGAGGTTTGGCTGTGATGGAGGATCCCTTCCACGGCGGTTCCTTCGCACGGCTGGGTTGGCAGGAGGCCCCCGATCCGCTCCACGCGTCTCCCCGTGGGACTGCCCCAGTGTCTTCACCGGGTGGTGCCTGGCTTCCCTCGGAGCACAGGATTTAAGGGCCAAGGACAATGTATCTCCCCTAGCCTCAGAGCCCACGCCCCATCACACTTCTCACCCCGCTGATTTGACACAGGAGACCACACAAAGGTGTGAAAACCAAGAGGCCAAGATCATGGGCCATCTCGGAGACTGGCTGCAACACCCACACCATGCGTCCCCAGGCCTCTGGCAGAGGTGGGCCTAGGGGTCAGGGCAGGTCAGGGCCCTGCTTATGATGGAGAGGATCCGCCTCATATCCACACACACACACACACACACACACACACACACCCGCTGCTCAGGTGCGCTGACATTTGGCTCTTGCCCTGTTGGCAGGAGGCCTGAGACAGCAGGTCCTGGGACTTGGACACCCTTCACCCTGTCCTCTCTGATGTTTTCCATGGAGGGCAGGCAGAGTCGACCCCAGTCCCCACCACCTACCCCACAGGAGCAGCAGCACTGGAGATGGGGCTGGAGTACCCCCCGAGCCCAGGGAAGCTCTGGCTACAGTGGAGCTCAAGCCCGGACATCAGACTCATCTGGGTCCCCAGCTCCGGGCCCAGGCCTGGCACTGCCTGGGTGACCGTGAACGTGAGGAAGGGGAGGGAGGGAGGCCTGTGCAGCCGGCTGGAGAGTATGGGGACATTGAAGAGTCCCTGCGGATGTGATGAGGGGTATCTGGAGACCAGAAACATAAAATGGTTTATGTGATGCTACTTCCATCTCCATTTTTTGAAAAAAGGACTGTGGTAGAAAATACAACAGGTGAGGATGCACAACATGAAGGATGGCCAAGAAAGAAATGCGAGTTATTTGACCACTCTCTGCAGTTAAAGAAGGTTCCTGTAAACTTGGTGAAGCTCAGCACGGAGGAGGAGGGGGAGTGAGATGAGGGGAGGAACACGGAGGTCCTTGCCTTGCGAAGGTTGGTAGTGGAGCACCTCCTCTGAGATGTTTTTCCAAGAGCTCCACCCGAGCTGAACCAGCCGAAGCTGTCTGCTGGGCCTGCAGCCCCGTCTGCGCACTGGAGAGCCGGGGGCGGCGGGTTGGGATGGGGAAGAGGCCTGTGGGGAATAGCCACACTGGATTCGGGAAAAGAAATACTCAGTGTCTTGGAACTCAAGATTACAGTGTGTGACGGTGTACATGATAAAATGTCAAAGTTAAAAATTAAATGAATGCCTCAACAATTCCACGCGTTGAAAATTTGAAAACATTCACACAAATGTTTGTGTGGGCCGAAACCGGTTTGGCTCAGTGGTAGAGCGTCGGTCTGCGGACTGAAAGGTCCCGGGTTCGATTCCAATCAAGGGCATGTACCTTGGTTGTGGGCACATCCCCGGTAGGGGGTGTGCAAGAGGCAACTGGTCGATGTTTCTCTCTCATCAACGTTTCTAGCTCTCTCTCTCCCTCTCTGTAAAAAAAATCAATAAAATATATTTTTTAAAAATGTTTGTGTGGAAATGTTAAAAAAAAAAAAAAAAACAGAAAGCTGGGCCAACATAAAACTGACACATGAATGTGTTGGCATTATTCACAATATTACAGAAGTGGAACCAGCCGACATATTCATCAGTTGGTGAGTAACCAATGTGGTACATCAAAAAGAAAAAAAGAGCCTCCCCAGATGACCCCCCTGGTCCAGCCAGGGGTTGAGAAGCGGGTGATGGGTACAGTCTGCCCACGGCTGCCATGAACTCCCGTCCTGGGTAGCTCCGTGGGCAGGTGGCCTCACTTGGAGGTCGACCAGAGACAGCCAGGCCCAAACGCACATGCTGGAACAGACACCTCACCACTGCGTCTCGGCACTGGCAGGGCCTGGAGTGCGGTGGGTGCCCAGGGGTACGGATACGTCCCCCTCAGGCCTCTGCGTCACCCGCAGTATTCTCCCGCTGCGATGTGGGTCGACAGCTGCAGCTGTGGGACATCCTAAGGCCATGAACCTGAACTTGGTTCCAGCTCCACGGTGGACTCCAACCGGGCGTTGTCTGATGGTCATGGCCCATGTTCCCTGGCCGCCTGGCACCTCAGCTGCATTATGCTTCCCATGGGTTAGAAGATATTTCTCTGCTCCCCAGGGGCAGCCTCCCCCCCATCAGCTTCAGCCCACCTGCCGGCCTTTCTAGCAACACATCAACGCCTGGTGTGAGGAAGTGACAACAGTCTGGATTTCTCCTTTTAAACTTGACTGCTGAGCATGCACCTCCGTGTGGCCCAAGATCTGAGAAAAGCACAGCTAATGCTCCGACATGGTCTCCGGCTCAAGTTTAACCTCGGCTGCTGCTGCTCCATGTTCAATAGCAAGGCTTGTGTGAAAGGCCAGGATGATGTTGTTGATGTTAATCCTCACCCAAGGTTATATTTTTTAAAATATTTTTTATTGATTTCAGAGAGGAAAGGAGAGGAAGAGAGAGAGAGAAACATCAGTGAGAGAGAACCACTGATTGGCTGCCTCCTGCACAGCGAATTGGGGTTTGAGCCCATAACCCACGCAATGCCTGACCAGGAATCAAACCGTGACCTCTTGGTTCATAGGTTGACGCTCAACCACTGAGCCTTGCTGCTGGGCCCTCGGCCCACTGACCCATTCTCACCTTCCTCCCCCACAGAAGAGCACTGGAGATGGGAGTGGAGATGGGGCTGGAGCACCCGTGCACCCCTGAGCCCAAGGAAGCTCTGGCTACTGTGGAGCTCAGGCCCAGACATCACAGATTCATCTGGGTCCCCAGCTCCATTGATTCTCACCCTCCCCCCCCCCCCATTGATTTTTAGAGTAAAAGGGAGGAGTGGGGGAGAGAGATAGATAGATATTGGTTGCCTTTTGCACTCACCCCAACTGGGGCAGGGATCAAACCTGCAACCCAAGTAAGTGCCCTTAACTGATAAACCCACAACCCTTTGGTGCACAGGTTAACCACTGAACCATACGGGCCTGGAATTTTTTGTTTAATACTCACCTAAGAATATTTTTCCATTTTTTTAAAATTTTTATTTTTTTAGTTCAGGGGAAGTGGAGGGAGAGACAGAAACATCAATGATTGACTGGCTGCATGTCCCCTACCAAGATTGAGCCCACAACACAGACGTGCCTGATCGGGAATCGAACTGTGTGTGATTCGTAGGTTGATGCTCAACTGGAGAGCTACAATGGCCAGGCTCCATTGATTTTGAGAGAGTGTGGGAGGGGGAGAGACAGAGAAACATCCATGTGAGAGAGACACTGATTGGTTGCCTCCCTCACACAGACGAACTTGGCCTGGGATTGAAACTGCAACTGAGGTAGGTGCCCTTGACCGGAATCAAAACCAGGACTCTTCAGTCCTTGGGGTCTACCCACTGAACCAAACCAAGTAGGACTGGGATTTCTAATTTATTCATTGATTTGCGAGAGAGAGGGAGAGAAACATCAATTTGTTCCACTTATTCATTCATTGGTTGTTTGGGGCTTGGAGAAGGGTTAAGCCCCTGGGGTCTCATCGCAGGGCAGGGCAGGTCCTGGGGTGATGGCTGCCTCGTGGGGACCAGTGCTGGGTGCTACAACCAAGACCATCTGAGAGGGTATGTCCCCCAGCAGACTGCATAGTTAAACTGGCATTTAGTAGCCTCTATCAAATGCCTTGTTTTTGAAAGCTAATCTCTATAAATGATCAACTAAAATAAAAAGACCTCTCCATCTCTTAAGAATAAAAAATGCAGAAAATAGACTTTATTCCAGAAGATCTTTTTAAAATATTTTTTTAAAGAATAAGACAAGTTACATTACTCTTTGTTTTCCACAACTTCTGACTCTCTTCTCCAAGACTGGCACTGCAGCCAGCTTTGGCGGGATATTCGGAGCCCTCAGCCCCAAGAATCTGGCCTCGATCTTTTTCCCCTGGGGGCTCCTCCACTTCTCCCAGCCAGGCTGTGAGAATGGTTATGAGGTGCTGACAGCCAGGAGCCCATGGGGTGCCGAGCTGGTGCCTATTGTCTTTTCAGGGAGAACCCCAATCCAGGCAAAGGATTTTGGCATGTGTCCCACCAGCAAGCTGGCTTTCAGGTCCACTTTGGGCGGAGGGAACTGAATGAAAACCCTAGGCCAAAGCAAGCCCGGCTCCTGCAGTCAGGCTGGGCACTCGCATACACACACGCACACTCACCACAGCTCTGCTGCGCTCCTGGGGCTGCAGAAGCCTTCTGAGCACTGTGCTGTCAATCTCCTTTCAAGATCAGACAAAATGCACATCATGAGGGAAGATTTCTTAAGACCAGTTTCTTGGGCCAGACGTGACACTGGAGGCCGTCCTGTGCTCCCAGGAAAGAGCCAGGACATTGTAAAGATCCTCTCCATGCTGGCGGCACAGCCCTGGGCCGTCTTCCTGCAGATAAGCCCGACAAAGGGCCGTGATGTGCTGCATTGGCAGGTCTCACCGGAGCCATGGGAGCGGGGTCTCCGGACTTCAGTTTGCACCTCCCAAGGGCTTAGGAGAGTGTGTCACACTTCATGGGGGGCTCTGGTCCCCTCTGAGCCCCATCAGAACCCCACTGGCTGCCTCTGCTGAGCAATCCAGTGGTTCTGAGGCCAGGGCAGGCTCACCTGGGTCAGCAGAGATTCAAATGAATGACTTGGCCAGAGTCACCATGTGATCCACACCACAGGCCACATCCACGGGCTCCCCCGGCATTGTCACCTGAAAAACAAGAGCCAGCACACCATGAGGGGAAATGGCCAACTGGGGGACAGGCTTGGTGGCCCCAGCTAGGCCTGATCTAGGCCCTGCATCTTAGTAGGTGACTTAGCCTCTGAGCCTTGGCTCCCTCCTCTGGGTGATAAATGGGGACACCTACAACGTACCTGGTAGGTCTGCTGGGCGAGCAAATGCAATCACCATGGAAAGGGCCATCCCAACTCCCCGCCCGGTCAGCAGTGGGCGTTACTGTTCAGCCCCCAAGAGGCCACTCGGCACAAGCATGAACCCCGAGTGACATCCCACAGAGGTTAGTCCCCTGTGAGTATGATCCCACCAGAGGGCAACACTTGTCTCCGGCCAAGTATTCAGTACCTTTCCTAGTGGTCACTACATGGCTCACTCGAGTGCCTGAAAAAACCCTTTCTCCTGCTCTCTGGTCCCCTTTGGGACCCAGGCCCCTGGCCCCGGGTCCTTACCCACTTTGCCTCCAGCTCTAGCCTCATTGAGTCCTGTCACCTTTGGGAAGGGAAGCTGTGTCTCAGAAGGTGCCCAAGGACTGGCCAGCAGTCATGCCGACACTGCCCATCCACGCTGACAACAACCATCACAGGAAGGCCCAACTCTCAAGGTAATAGCAGCCTCCTGGGATATGGAGGGTTCCATTTGTCTCTATTTATTTTGGTTCATCCTTACCCAAGGATATTTTTTCTATTGATTTTGTTTTAGAGAGAGAGAGAAGGGAAGGAGGGGGAGAAGGGGAGAGAGAGAGGAAAACATTGATGTGAGAGAGACATCAATTGGCTGCCTCCCACATGTGCAACATGGAACCTGCAATCCAGGTATGTGCCCTTGACTGGGAATTAAACCTCCAACCCTTTGGTGCATAGGCTGACACTCTAACCACTTAGATATACTGGCCAGGTCCTGCCTGTTTGCCTTTTTTTATTGTTTTTTTACAGGGAGGAAGAGAGAGGGATAGAGAGCTAGAAACATGGACCAGCTGCCCTCTGCACATCCCGCACTGGGGATATGCCTGCAACCAAGGTACATGCCCTTGACCGGAATTGAACCTGGGACCTTTCAGTCTGCAGACGGATGCTCTATCCACTGAGCATCCGTCTGCAGACTGAAAGGTCCACTGAGCATCCGTCTGCAGACTGAAAGATCCAACTGGTTTCAGCTTTTTTTTTTTTCTTTAAGGTATAATATGTGTACATATCTTTCCTGTTTTCCTTTAAAATGACTCATTGTTCCAGCCTGGCCTTGGAAATGGGAGGCACTAATCAAGGACTTCCATACCCACATGGCCACCCCAGTTCTCCAGAAAAGAGGCACTTTTCTATTATTATTTTGAATAGGAAATACATTCACATAGCTACAGTATAAAATAACATTTAATGAAAAAGAATAAAAAGACATTAAGTACCTTTTACTACCACTATGATCTGCCTCATTCCCTAACCTTCCCTGATGTGGAAACCACTTTTGATTGGTTTCTAATTGTCCTTCCAGAGGTTCTTGGTGCAATGAGAAGCAAATGCCACATTTATTGATTTTTTTTTACAGAGGAAGAAAGAGGGATAGAGAGTTAGAAACATCGATGAGAGAGAATCATCAATCAGCTGCCTCCTGCACACCCCCTGCCAGGGATGTGCCCGCAACCAAAGTACATGCCCTTGACGGAAATCGAACCCAGGATCTTTCAGTCCACAGGCCGACGCTCTATCCACTGCGCCAAACCGGTTTCAGTGAGATGGCAAGTTTTAAGACTGCACCTGTACCACTTACTCCTCAGCCCTCAGCTACGACACCACGCTGCTTTTCTGACCAGATCCGAATCCCGCCATCCTGGCGGGGTGGGCAGTGTGACAGCTGGAAAGGGGATCTGTAACGGCCTGTGGAGTTACTGAGCGTAAGAGGGAAAGGCCTACTCCAGATGGCCTGGCCTAAAAGCCCAGAGGCAGCAGTGCCGACCCTGCAGCTTGGCGCCTGTGGTGTGAGGAAACAAGTCCATTAGGGCTCCTGGCCACAAACAAACGGACGCTAGTAACCATGTTGTGCTCCCCACCTCCCCTCCCTAAACAAACGTCTTTGGCAAAGCCTGTGAGAGAAATCACTAAGCAAACAAGAAGCCATGCCCAGCTCATCGCAAAGGCTCACAGGTGCGGAAAGCATTCCAGGCTGGCCAGGCAATGCCTCTGTGGTGACCGGGCCCAGGTGAACTCGTAGCAGCCCCCAGGCCATTAGCGCACGTCTCCCTGACCGCTGTGGGCGGGAAGTGCCCTCTCCACACTGACCTGCAGCCCAGCTGCTGCATTCACGCACCTCTGTCCTTGTTCCCCAGTGCTCTGGCCATCAGTTACAACACAGAGCAGACCACTGGTCTTGTTTACTCGCCGGGACTGTGGCCTGGCCTCGGAGGCCCACCTCTCGGTGGCTCAGTGGTAAGCAGTCATTCGCAGTCTGTCTCTGAACCGAGTCCAGAAGAAGAATGCCCTCAGCCATCTTTTATTTTTGTCCTTGTCAAGGTTAAAAGGAGCTTCTATTCTAAACCAATTTACACTCACAACATTACTGCAAATGGAAACAGTTCGAAAAACCAAAAGCACCTTGAGCCTGAGTGAGGGAAAAGTTTGAGCAAACTCAGTTTAGCAACATCTCTCCCCACAATGACATGTTCCTAAATAAGCGCCCAGCCGGTGAGAGACAGGAAGGCTGAGGGCACTGACCCTGGGCTGCTCCCCACTTGGCTGCTTCTGAAATTTCCTTGGCATAAGCGAGCAGCTGAGAAAGGAAAAGAGCTCGACCAGCAAGGAGACACTGCCCCAGAGCGCCCAACTGCCACAGCGCACCTCTCCCCCGAGGTGGCCATATAAGAAGGCGGCCTTCAGGCAGAGGACTTGCCAGCCTGTGCTCCCAAACCCAACCTGGAACTGACCAGAGGGGGCAGCACAGCCTGCAGCAGGAAAACATCCTGGAAGGTGGTTCTGATGTCACTACATGAGCCTACAAACTGAGAGAAGCCCAGGTTCTGGGAGTCCAAGAACAATTAGTGCCTTGTAGGAGCTATAAATAAAACTTTACTTTTTCTTTCTTGGAATACTTTTTAAATGATGTTACACAGCCCCCTCTGAAGATTAATAACAAAATTCAGTGTATTAAAGATTAAAAATATCCTGTAATTTTTTTTTTTCTAAGTGAATACAACAGGACAGACAGGAGCAAGGTCCAGCTACCCAACAACAGTCAAATTGAATATTTAAGGAATCCAGCTTGGTTGATCCAAAACCTGGTTCCTGCCACCACCTTTGTCCCAAGCCTCAGCCTTGCACCTCAAGCTTGCAGAGTGGAAAGCCACTCTTATCTCAGCACCATTCTTCAAGCTCTCTCCTTAACCCATCCACAAACAGGGCTCAACAAATGTACGAGGAGGACAACGGTTTGTCAAGAAAGGAGCCGCGTGTCCTTTTGCTGATGGTACAGATGCAGAGAATGACAGTCCCAAAGGGAGGTTTGATGGGTGATGAGTCAATGAAGGGGTGTCTGGTCTGAGTGGCAGTGGTGTCCGCCCCAGCAGCCTGCTCCTTCCAGCTTCACTGCCGGCCAGAGGCCTGGCCCAGCCATTTCAGTAAGGAACATGCTAGATTTCAGGGCTGTCCTACGTCTTCACTCTGACCTGGAGGAAGTGGAGACAGGGGAGGAGCCCCTCGTCCCAGCAGTCATTCGCTCAAACCCCAGGTGCTTTCCTGTTTCCTATGCTTCCCCGCAGGAAGGCCTTTGGGTGGGGTTCGAGAGAGGGCAGTAAGGAACTACCAAGAAAAAAAGTAGGTGTTTAAATCACATTATCGGCATTCCATTACCTGCGGTACCATCCACTGCCCGTCACCTGCCTCTCCATTCCTCACACATGATGGCATTTCCTAGCTCAGGGAATAAGCCACCTCAGGGACAACTCTGGGCCACACCAGTTTCCTAACAAGTGTAAAGTCTGTTTTGGCCTGTCCTCTTAGAAACCGCACCTGCTCTTTATAAAGGAGCCAGAGCCTGCCAAGCTCTTAGGGACAGGAGAGGCGGCAGCCGAGGGAGGGACCGTGGAAATGAGCCCCTAAAGTAACAAAGAGCCGCAAAACATTCTGCAGCGAGTTCTGGACAAACCTTACTTCACTTCTTTTGCATTTTTACATGTGCTTTCAAAAGATACTTTACACAATTTCAAAGCACATTACCAAAATCAAACTTGTTAAATACTTAGACATGTGCTGCTCGCGCATGCACGCATTCGCACGCACCTCCATAGGCAGCGCCTGTGTCTGGAGGGAACAGCAGACACCAATTCTGGTGGCTGCCTCATGGATAAGACATGGGAAACTGATTTTTCATACTACACTCTGAACAAGGACATATGTTCTGTATTCAAAAAAATAGCTTTTTTTAGAACTTAAAAAAACCTAGTAAACAACACTAAGATAAACTACAATTGAAGAACTTTTTCTCCTTTAATTTTCAAATGAGTCTTTTTGTCTAATTGCATCCTCCCCCTAAGAAAAACCTTTATTTTTTCACTTTGGTGCCTGTGGTAAGGCATTCTAAATATTAAACATCCGGCTTTCTTTTAAATTCACTGTAAACATTCCTCTGCACAGGCCTCTGCAAACAGCTCCTGGAATGCCAACTTCTCCATTTCAAACCTCTCCCTGTCAGCATCGGAGCCTCCGGCACCCGGCCTGCAGCTTGCTCCTCTGAGGCGTGCTTCTGTTTCCTGCTCCACATCCCCAAGGACAGCCTCCAAGGAGGTTCTTACAGAGCACCAGAGGGTGGAACCCACACAGGCCATTCCTCCCACTACTCACTCAACAGGCCACGGGAAAGAGCAAAGGCAATGAGCCCACAGCCAGAAAAGTTGGTGCTGGGCGCTGGCTCTGGACCCTCACCTGAGCGGCCTCACCAGATGCCACAGAGCAGGAGGAGGGCAGCTGGGACCCGGAAGTGGGGGAGGCAGTCCTGGCGACCCGGTGCTGGGCATTGCTACCACATCAGGTGAATCTGCCCTCTGGGCCTGCCCGCAAACCCGCCCAACCCAGTCTTACCCTCCATGGGAAATACTGGTCTTCCATGCGGCCAATGCCCAGGCAGCCTCGGATGTTTTTGCCCCAAACAAACAGCTCTCCTTTGTCTGCAAAGAAAGGAAAATGGTGGCTTGGTTGGGACTAGGCCAAGGGCAAGTCTCCAAGAAGAGGAAGGATCATGAGAACAGGCGTTCCAGAACCTGGTACAGAGTCCAATGTTAAACTTCAACTTCTACCAGACAAGAAATGCTTCCTCTTGAAGGGAAAGTATGCTGCCCCATACCAAACCATGTCCTAGCCCAGGTTTACAGTGTCCATCTTGGGGGAGACGCGTATGTGCGTGGAGCAGAGGGCCAAGGAGGCTCCGCACATACCCCGGGGGGCCCCTCTCACACTAACAACTATGTCCTGAAATACGAGCATCCTCAAAGTAGGATGACTGCCATTCCTTGTCTGGGTTTCCACATGCCAGGAATATTCAGTCAAGCCATAATGATGACTGGGTACCTCTATGGGCCAGAGCTAGGTCTGTGTGCCAGCAGGTGGGACAGGACAGTGACTACACATGCTTGGTTCCTGTCCTCATGGGACTAGTTGAACGGTTAGAGATAAATGATCAAACCAATACACACATGCTTATGGGACTAGTTGAACGGTTAGAGATAAATGATCAAACCAATACACACATGCTTACCCACTAACAGTACCAACAAGGAAAAGGACTGAGAGGCTGTTATAGAGAAAGCCCAGGGGACTGCAACTAGACCTGGGCTCTGGGAATGTCAACCTCCAGGAAAGGACCCAGACATGGCAGGGCAGCCTCCCACAAGCAGCCTCAGTGCTGACTTCCATCCCCATCAGCTTTGGGCACTCCTTGGCCCAGCGGCCCTATTTAGCTCCCCCACATCTGGCAAGCAGAAGTAGAAAAAGCATGGGAAAGCCAGGACTAAAATAATCTGGGCTGGTTAAATAAGGAATCCTTTCGTTACAAGCTGTCAGAGCGCCTCTGGTCTGTCCAACACCCTTGGTCCTCCAGCCTCAGATTTTACGTGTTTAACAGAACAATTCAGTTTGGTTCCAAACTGTTAAGACTTCAGGGTAAACCAACTAATCCCAACTCCCAGCTGGTCATATGCAAATGCTGGGCACACAGTCAGGGGAGAAACACAAACTCTGATGCTCTCTCTACTGAAGGACAATAACTGGCACTTGGGGGAAAGCTTTATAGGGGATTTCATTTCAGTGTGACCCAAAATGGCCACACGGGTTACACCAAACAGAAAACAGTCACTTCATGTGGGTTTCCAAGTATGTGGCTTCGAACATAGTGTAAGCCTTAGAACAATCTGGAAAATAGATCACTGACACCTCCAGAATTAGTCCACAATGACTCTTACTAAGTTGAAGTAACTTTAAAAAAAACTCACAGGAACTAGGTTCATTTGCAAATAGAAGGGGCTGACTCTGCCTGAGGGGCAGTGATGGATCCTTCACCCATCAGCGCTGCTACCACCTGGCGCTTTAATACACACAGTCGGGCAAGACTTCGACCACTAGCCCCAATGTCCGCACTGAAGCCCCAAAGCCTGGAGCTCCGACAATTCCGAATGGTGATCATCTGGAGCAGTCCTCACATAGCGTGGGGCCAGAGAACACAAACAAGAATGACCCGAACTGACTGTCCCAGCCAGATGTTTAAAAAAACAACCAATTACTTACCATGAGACAAGGAAATGGGGAATCTGCTTGAGAATCACAAAATGAAATGAAATTAATACAGTCTGATGATTCAAGTCAACTAAAGAGGAACAAATTGAACCAACAGTCACTGCGGTGGAACAGGAGATGTAATCAAGAAAAGCACACATTCTAGAAGTCTGCAGAGTAACTGGATATGTTATGGCTGTGTCATTTGGCAAACCTTTGCAAACATCTCCGTTTCAGCCTTCCCTTTGATCATTCTCTCCCCCAGCACTTTGGAGAAATTGGGCAAATTTACTTCCACAAAACCACGGACAGTCTTACAAATCTGCTCCTTGCCATCCCACGTTCCTGGGTCAGATTGGGGTTTGGGCTTGGTCAGGCAGTGGGATTAAACCCCACACATTCATTTCCTAATTACCTACCATAGATTTGCCAAACCTCTGCTGGTTTTCCTCCACACCCCAACACATTCAAGGGTCCCCTCTCCGACCACCAATTGGTATCCTCTTGAGAAAATTCACTTTCACATTAGCCTAACCACAAACCAAATGAACCAAGATAAAACTCCAGGATGAAAAAAAGATACACATTATACAACCCCAAGCCAAACAACTTCTGGATTAGCCGCTCTCTCTAATTATCCATACAAGGGTACCGCGCCACTGGACGGATGGAAACTGAGAGCTGCCCACAGACTGGGGTTGAACCCGAGAGTGAAGCTCTGTCGGTCTCCGGGGCCGCATGGCTTGGTCACTTACTAGTAAGGGCAGCAAAGTGGCTGAGTCCACATCGAATTCGGGAAACCTGGACATCGGGGTTGAACTCCGTTAAGCCGAAGAGAGTGGGTGGAACCATTTCTGGAAGAGCAGTTTCCACTAGGTTTGGTCCTTTCCCAAGAATTCCATAGCCCCAGACAAAAACACGTCCTTCTCCTACATTACAGGAAAAACAACGCTCAGTAAGTCAAACCAAGAGCAGCCCCCCTCACTAGAAATTCAAACTGCGCCACCAAGAAGCACTACATCCACATGCATTCCCCCTCCCTGCTTGGCAAGAACATGCTGACAGATAGTTAATGTTTCTTTTCTCCTCTTTCAAATTCTTGTTTGTGGAGTATATCTAGCCAGCTCACCAATCTCAGAATACAAACTTCCCACATCCTGAAGGTAATCTGGACAGGACCCATCCATAAATCACCCAGAAACCTCACGTGAACACTGGAGAGCCTTCAAAGGACAGTTTTTCACAACAGCTCTATGCCTCACAGTGATCAGAAGACCAAGCCAAGTAACTAAACAACTTTTGGGCAGAGTCCTAAAATTCTAGAAATGATTTTTTGGTAATAAAAGGTTTAATACTCATCAGTGGTACCAGATGTTTAATCCGAGAGGCGTGGATCTCAGTATCTAAACCCTAAGGCTGTTCTCTCTGCCTTGTTTCCTGTCCTGGCAGCCTCCCTGGAGAAGGCAGAGCTGGAGTCTCTGGCCCAGGCTACGGGGCAGGGAGAAAGTTCACTCCCCATTTCAGAGGACTGCTACAGAATTATTATGCTCTGTGCTGCCTACTTACATATCACGGCTATTATCTTTCTGTCAAGAATATCACCGCACCCTCTATTAGCTGAACTCAATCTAACTGGATCTGCCCCCAGCCACATTCCCTTCCTCAGGCCAAGGTCTGCTGCCTGTGAGTCCAATGGACACCGACCTTCCGCTATGCAACCCACCTATAGCTGCCCAGTGACTCTGCAGGAGGGTCTCACCATTTAACACAGCACAGCCAGTGCCACCGCACGCAGCCTGCTTCACCTTGCCCACTCCTGAGAAGGGTAAGCACCGGGGGATGTTCACCTAAATCAAAGGAAGGGTCCACACTGTTAGGAAGACAAACCAGCGAGAACTTGGAAATAATCTGGTCTTGTGTACAGAGTATATAAGTCCCAATTCATTTATCCATGCCACAAATATTTCCCAAACATTGAACATTGAACATATGCTAACTATCTAACTGGGTATTGGGAATGAGGGGAACAAGACACCTGGTCCTCTCCTAGTCTCCTAATTTAGCTGCCAGCCTAAATTAACATAAAATTAATTTGTGCTCAATGCAATGAAGGAAAGTACATGGTCTCTGAGAATGAACGTGAGGGAGACTGAGTTTGGCGGGAGTAGCAGTCAGGAAGGCTTCATTTTTCTCCTGCTACCTGAAGGATGAGTAGAGGTAACTAGGCAAGGGGAGAACAGGACATTCCTAGTGGGGGAGATGGAATGTGTAAAGGGAATGAAGTGAGCATGGCATATTCAGGGAGGTTAAACAAGGTCAGAGTGGCTAAAGCAGAGAAACAGGCGGGGGGGAAAGGGTCATAGTACAAGAAGCCAGTGGGGAGAGGGCACCCGGATCATGCAGGATGCTATGGAACTTCTAGAGGGGAAGGAACATCATGGACGTAGGTAACAATGGAGAAGGACCAGAGTGTGGGGAGGAGCATGAGTTCACTCTTGAATGTATTGCACTCAGTGTTTAGAGACATCCAAGTGGTGCAGACACAGGTGCGTGTATATGAGCCATAGCAGGAAACTGAGGGCATTCTCGTCCAATAGCATCTGCTTTCTCTATTAAGCAGGAGTCAAGTACTGCTTAGTGATGTCTGGAACTCTGAGGTGTAAGCATACAGATGCTAAGTGCAGCCAAGGGTATACTAGGATCTTCTAAAGAGGGAATATGGAGGGGGGAAAAAGCAAAATCCACACCATGAGGATCTTCCACATTTAAAAGCCTGGCACAAGAAGAGATCTAGTAAATGAGACCAAGACGACCCTGGTCCGCATGGTTCAGTGGTTGAGCTTTGGCCTATGAACTACAAGGACTGTTCAATTCTCAGTCCGGGCACATGCCCCAGTTGTGTGCTCGATCCCCAGTGTGGGGTATGCAGGAGGCAGCCGATCAATGATTCTCTCTCATCATTGATGTTTCTTTTTCCCTCCCTCTCCCTTCCTCTCTGAAGTCAATAAAATATATATATATATATATATATATATATATATATATTTTTTTTTTTTTTTTTTAAATGAAACCAGGAAGTGACACCGAGAAAGTTGAGAGAGCACTAGAAGAGTCTAGCCATAGGGCAAAAGGAAAAATGGTTTTCACAAAGATGTCATTGTCAATGTCAAATGCTGCTGAGAGGTCAAGAAAGATACAGAGTGGAAATGTTCTCTAGATTCTTTATTATTATCCTTAGCAACATGGATGTCATTCGTATCCCTATCAAGAGCCATCCAGCAAAATTCATAAGGGTGGAAACTAAGTGGAATGGACTGACAATAAGTCAATGTGGCTCCTGAGAAGCAGGAGGTAAAGCTATGGGGTAGGGTGGGGAGGATGGAAGGAGATGGAGGAGCCACCTAGGGCTTTAAGATGGAAGATATAAGAGTCAGGTGAAAAGACTGATGGAGGCACTAGCAGAGAAGGACAGGTTCAAGCTTTGGGAAAGAAGGCCCGGCAGATAGAGGACGGCTCCTGAAAAGGTGGAAGGCGATGGGATCCAGGGCAGAGAGAGAGGAGCAGCTTCAGCAGGAAGAAATACACCTCCTCCACCACTGGAAAAGGAATGGGTCCAGGGTGGGTGCAGACACAGGTACGTGTATATGAGCCATAGCGGGAAACTGAGGGCATTCTCGTCCAATAGCATCTGCTTTCTCTATTAAGCAGGAGGCAAGGTCTGCTGAGAGTGAGAGATGGGAGGATCAGGGGTTTGGAGAGTGAAATGTGGCCAGCTTAGCCTTCCAGCAGGATTTGGTCTTGGCGCCTCTACTAAGAAATAACTTTGGAAAGACAGATTGTAAGTGCTTCAGTGACAGCCACGAATCTTCATAGATTCACTTTCAAACGGAAATAACTGAAAGATAACAGTCCCTAAGCTGACTCCAGAGGAATAAAGGGACTTACAATCCAGATGCCTAGATAAAGTGGGGCTGTAAGGGATGGGGCCGGGCCTCTGCTTCTTGGCTCTCAGAGAGCCTCCTTACCTCACTGTGCTCTGGCACAGGGCCCTCAGCAAGCACTGAGAAATGCTCTCGCAGCGCCATTGGAAACAAACCCCTGTTGTCACTGACAGGATGAGGCTCAGACCACAGTAAAGAATCTTGGTTGTGATGGGCTACTTCTCAGATGACCCCTAATAATCCCAGTCCCCTCCTATTCGCACCCATGTGTAATCCCTGCCCTGTGTGGGGGCTGGACCTACTGACTTGCTTCCTCTTTTTCCTTTTTTTTTTTTTTTTTTCCCAGAGAGGAAGGAAGAGGAAGAGAGAGATAGAAACATCATGAGAGAGAATCACTGATCGGCTGCCTCCTGCACGCCCACTGGAGACCGAGCCTGCAACCCAGGCATGTGCCCTTGACCAGAATCAAACCTGGGACCCTTTAGTCCACAGGCCGACAATCTATCTACTGAGCCAAACTGGCTAGGGCCTGACTCGTTTCTAATGAGCAGAATACCAGCATTAGTGAGGGAAAGTCTGCTAAGATTAAGTGATAAAACACGGGCTTATGTCTCACTGGCACTCGCTCTTGCCTTCTCATTTGCTCACTCTGATGAAGCCAGGTGCCATGTTGTGAGTAACTACATGGAAAAGCCTACGTGGCAGGGAACATGGGAGGCTTGGCCAATAACTATGAGCTGGCTGGCTGCCAGTAAGGAAGTGAGGCCCCAGTCCAATAGTCCACAAGGACCTGCATTTTGCCAGCAACCCCAGTGTGGTCCGGAATGCAGACCCTTCCCCAGGTGAACCTAAGATGACTGCAGCTTTTGAAAGGCTCAGAACCAGAAGGCTAAGCCACCCCAAGATTCCTGACCCACAGAAACTGTGAGATAATAAATGTGTGTTGTTTTAAGGCACTAAGTTTCGGGGTCATTTGTTATGCAGCAATATGTAACAGTGACAGGACACTGGACCTGTCCCCCACAGGAAGGCCACGGGAGACATTTTTCTCAGGCCTTGGCATTAGGAAGAACGGTACTTCTCCTGAACACTTTATTTGCTATTTATTTTACAGAAACAATGAATCATTTCAATGACCGTTTTCTCTTTGCTTTGGCTACTAGGAAACTAGAGCCAAATCTGAAACCACTTCTAGCCACTGAGCCAGACCACAGAGCATGCATTTTTTCACCTATTAGCTGATCTTAGTTTTCCTTTGTGCAAGTTTATCATTGACATATATTTAAAACCCTTCCTGAAGAAAAAAAGAAACAAAAACTTCTGTATTTGTCAAAAGTTTAATATTAAAGAATGTAGTATGAATTTTAAATAGACCTTATCTTTTAGAGATACATACTGAAACTTCTATAAAAGAAATATGACACCTAGGATTTCCTTCAAAATAATCCAGGATAGAGTAGATGGAATTACAGATGCAACAAAATTTGTCCCTTAGGGAGTATGGGCTTTTTTTTGGGGGGGGGGGGGGAAGGGTGTTAAGGGGATAGCTGAATTTAATGAAAATGTCTGGAATTAGATAGTGGTGATAGTTAGACATCCTTGTGACTATACTAAAAACCACTAAATTATATATTTAAAAATTGTGAATTATATCTCAATTTTTTAAATGGGCATTAGTTGGTAATTGTTGAACATGGGTAATAGGTAAAGATTAATTATGCAATGAGCTCTACTTTTTGTTTAAATTTGAATTTTTCCTTAATAAAACATTTGAAATTCTACTATAGTGGAATCATGGTGGCTGGCTTCAGTGAGGACGGGCTAGTGGTGAGGAGAGGCTGCGGGCATGGCTTCAGAAGGGCTGCTAGTATTCTATTACTTGACCTAGGTGGAGCTGCACAGCTGTCTTAATCGAGCTGCATGCACATGATCTGTATGCTTTGGGGCATATGTTACACAGCAACAAAAAGCAACAGTGTGACAGCACAGGAACTTAGGTAAACAGCCTCATTATCCCAGCATGCCTCAAATACTGCCCTAAACCAGAACTATCTCATCAAAGTACTGATTTTTTTTTTTAAAAAAGGGCTTTTGCACTTAAGCTTTCTTTCTGAATGCCAATGAAATTGTCAAGAACTTGGAACCTTACCCGGCTGGTGTGGCTCAGTGGTTCAGTGTCAACAGTGATTGAGTGTCAACCTATGAACCAGGAGGTCACAGTTCAATTCCTAATCAGGGCACATGCCCTGGTTGTGGGCTCAATCCTCAATAGGGGGCATGCAGGAGGCAGCCAAACAATGATTCTCTCTCATTATTGATGCTTCTCTATCCCTCCCTCTGAAATCAATATAAATACTAGTATACTAGAGGCCCAGCGCACAAATCTGCGCACGTGTGGGGTCTAACCAGCCTGGCCCCCATCAGTGGATTGGAACTGGGCCTGTGGGGAAGAGGAGACAGCAGGAGGTTGGTTGGCTGGGCCAACAGGGGGAAAGGGCTGAGGGCGATTGGCCAGCAGGCCCCACCCCAATTGGGGGACCAATTGGGGGTGGAGCTGGCCATGGGGAGGGGCTGTGGACAGTGGGCTAGATGGCCCCACCCTTGAATGGGATAGGGGGAGCCAATCAGGGGTCAGTGTCTGGGGGAGGGACCTGGGAAGTTGGCCGGCCAGCTCCAACCCCAAGTGGTGGGGGAGCTGATGGAGGGCTAGAAGCCCAGGGGAGGGGCCATGGGTGGTTGGCTGGCTGGCCCTGCCCCTGATCAGAGTAGGGAGGCCAGTTGGGAGTGGGTCTGGCTAGGGGGAGGGGGGAGGGCCAATCAGGGGTGGTGGGGCCCATCTGGTGCAGGGCCAGCTGGGAGGAGGGGCCGCAGAAGGTTGGCCGGCCAGCCCCATCCCTGGATCAGGAAGGTTTGCTGGCCACAGTGGGCATCATAGCGACCGGCAGTTCTGTCGTTACGGTGTTACAGTCACTGTTTTTTTTTTATATATAGGTATTTAAAAAAAAAAAAAAACCACAAAATTTAGAGCCAAAACCAGTTTGGCTCAGTGGATAGAACGTCAGCCTGTGGACTGAAAGGTCCCAGGTTCAATTCCGATCAAGGGCATGTACCTTGGTTGCGGGCACGTCCCCAGTAGGGGGTGTGCAAGAGGCAGCTGATTGATGTTCCTCTCTCATCAATGTTTCTAACTTTCTATCCCTCTCTCTTACTCTCTGTAAAAACTCAATAAAATATTTTTTTTTTTAAAAAAGAACTAGAGCTTTGAAGAGGCAGTCTTACAACAGATTAGGTCAATGGTCGGCAAACTGCGGCTCTGATGACTAGAGTTTGCCGACCACCACATAAGGCATTACCCTTACCCAGAAGTTTTGACTTCAGGTTAAAGACATTAGTAGATTATTAAAATGTTTTTTAAGTGTTTTCCCCTAAGGCAGTGGTCGGCAAACTCACTAGTCAACAGAATGGCAAACCGCAGCACAAGTCACGGTTTGCTGACCATGGGTTAGGTCTTAACATTCTAGCACTTTATACATCACACTTTGGTGAAGAACCTCTTAGAAATGTCCTTAACACACCATGTTTACAAACCTCCCAGCACCATGCTATAAGCAACCTTATACCTGCGTGGTGTCCGTGACAGAGGCCAGCTGCAGGTACTCAGAGTTGCCCCAACCAAAGAGGTCTCCATCAGCTGACACAGCCAGGCAACAATCACCGTAGGTGGCGACCTGGACCACATTCACTCCTGCAAGGTCTCCTCCCAGCTTGGTGGGAACACTGGTGATATTGTAGTGGCCCAGACCTGACACAATAGAAAATACCTCTGAGTTATTCTCTTACACCTTACACAGACTTAATATATGCCAAACACATTTGAGCCCTTCACAAATATCAAAAATCCTAATCTGTTCCTCTGCATGCCAGGCAACTTCCATGTTCTCCCAGAGGCAGAAAAAGGCATCACTGTAACTAGATCATATTAAAACTCCTGAACTTTTCTAGGTCCAATTCAAGTTAGAAAAATTCTCAAGATGAAAGCCTATTATACAATGAACATATGAGACCTTGCATATATTAAAACGAGCAATTTCTAATGCACTGCTGAGCTTGCTGGTAAAACGAAGGAAATCTCTCCAGTTCACCCACCCAAAAAAGTAAACAGAAACAGGCAAACTGGCGTGGTAAGCAGTAAACAGGACAACACGGGGCTTGCCCGAAGGACAATGTCATTATCAGCACCTCAGTTGAGGGGAATCCCTGAGCAGCACAGGGAGGCAAACACTAAACCACAGACTCTGGCTTCAGGGACTTCCTCACAGGGGCTCAAAGCGGGTCATACTGGCATCAAAAGATACTACCAACAGAGTAAAAAGGCAAAATGGAAGAAAATATTTGCAAATCAAATATCTGATAACAGATTAATGTTCAGAATATACAACAAATTCAACAACCACAACAAAAACAAATGACCCAATTAAAAAATTACTACTTCAAAGAAAATATACAAAGGGGCAAGCAATAACTATATGAAAGATGTTAAAATCATTACCACTAGGATGCCACTATTACAAAAAACAAACAAACAAAAAACACACACAAAAATAACAAATGTTAGGAAGGATGTGGAGAAAGTAGAACTTCATACATTGTTGGTAGGAACGTAAAATGGTATAGCTACTATGGAAAACAGTATGGCAGTTCCTCAAAATGTTTACTTGGAATTACCATGTGACCCAGCAATTCCACTCTGGGTATATACCCAGAAGAATTGAAAGCAGGGTATCAAAGACATATTTGTACACCAATGGTCACAGCAACATTATTCCAAATAGATAAAAGGTAGAAGCAACCCAAGTGTTTATCAACAGATGAATGGATAAGTATACTGGTAATGCGTTATATACATATGTATATAACGCATGTATATACATGCGTTATATACAAAGGAATATTACCCAGATTTAAAAAGGAAGGAAATTCTGACAGATGCTACACAAAGGATGAACTCTGAAGACATTATGCTAAGTAAATAAGCTAGTGACACAAAGAATAAATACTTTATGAATCACATATAATGCACCAAGAAGGGTCAAATTCATAGAGGCAGAAAGTAGAACAGCAGTTGCCAGGGGCTGGGAGGAGGAAAGAATGGGGAGTTACTGTTTAATGGGTATAATAAAGTTTCAATTTAAAAAGATGAAACAGTTCTGAAAATAGATGGTGATGAGGGTTGCACAACAATGCAGATGTACTTAATATCAGTAAACTTAATATCAGTACATCTCAAAATGGTTCAGATGGAGCCATAACTGTGAAAGTTGTATTAACATAAAAAACCATTTTGTATAAATTTAAATAAAACAAAGATATAAAAATCACACCAATGCTATCATTACAACATAAAAAGCTGTACTTATATGAACAAGGACTGGAAAAAAACATGAGACTGAACAAAGACAATTTGGTGGTGGTGGGATTATTGAGGATTTAGACAAGATTTAAATCTTGAATTTAAAGGCCCCGCCTTCAGATAAATTTCAAAAAACGAAAAGATTAAACATAGAAGGTGTGTGAAAGCTTATCCCTCCTTCCTTCCTCCCTTAATGATATTCTTCTGAAATCAGCTAAAATGGAGCTCCTTTTAGGCGGCACTTGTTTCTTTACAAGGCTCAGAACTCCTTTGTTGCGGAGTGGCTCCAATCCTCTATCCAATTCCTTATAATTCGTTTCTATGGGGACGGGGACGGGAGAAACAATTATCGTTCCCCAGGAAGCATTTAAGAGGTAAGAGTCACATGAAGGAAGATGGGTTCTAGCCTGTGAGAACCCTACAGCTCACAACGCCATCCTGCACTGTCCCCGGATGAAAGGTACAATACCTGTTTGCCCATCCGCACCCCAGCCACAAGAATAGACTTCCCCTTTATCCGTCAGGAACAGACTATGGTCCTGGCCACAGGCAACCTATGAGACAAACAGAGGTAAGGTGGATGAGAATTCTTCCAAGCCCAGCATCCCAGTCAATGGACCTGAAGCCCAGTAGCATTCCCCACGGCTCCTGAGCAGGATGCCCCCCACTGTCTCCATGTCTTATTCACTCTCGGTGTACTACTGCTCGCGGTCTCCCACTCCACTGGAACTGCTCTTGCTAAGTAAAGTGCCAGGTGTCCTAAAGAGCGCCTCCACTGCTTCCACACCTGAGGAACCACTCCCTCCTCCAAAGCCTTTCTCTTCACGATTTCTCTTCTGCCTCTCTAAGCCTCTACTTCTTACCCTTCAGTGGTGGGCTCCTCCCAAGTTCTGTCCTCTGCCCTCTTCTCTCCTGCCTTCACAGTTCCCAGGAGACTGTATCCATTCCCAAGGCTTTCGCTGTCACCTCCACACTGTTACCCCCAATCCCAACAAATCTACTGAGTTTGGACCTATTTCTCTAACTGCCTAATGAGAAGCACTCTTTATTGAACACTTAGTATGTCGGGCACTTTATGTTGAGTCAATAACCAAGACCATCTAGTAAGAAACTGGATCTCTGAGAAGTTAGGTAACTTATCCAAAGTCACCCAGTTAATATGTGGAGAAGCAAGGAGTTAAACTTACGTCTCTGTGACTGAATCACTACATTCCACTGCAAATCCACTCTCTTGCTCCTCCCGCCCTCCTTTCCCAGCCAGTCCACGCCTGCTCCTCCTCCAATAGGCCTCTCTCTGGGTTGAGAACATCATCAGCCAAGTCATTTGCCTGTGAAATCTCCCTCAACTCCCTTTAGCATGCTCCCTGCCCCGCTAATCAAGCCCCAAATCCAGTCAATTCTCCTTACCTGTCTCCCATCAGTCCCTTCTCCCCAAGGCTTCCCAAGTGACCTTGATCCCTTCCTCCCCTCCTCTACTCCATACCATGGCCAAGTTATCTTTCTAAATAGATCATGAATTGGCTGTCACTCCCCCTGGTGAGAACCTTTGATAGGCCCCAACTGTCAAGAGGATGAAGTCTAAACTCCTTAGCAAGGCATTCCAAACCATGCACTGTCCACTCTGAACCCGTCTTCCAGCCTATCCCACACCTCTCCCCCATAAGCACACCCAACTCCAGCCCCACTGCACCTTCTCAGCAGTCAGCGCCTCCAGCTGCTCCCTCTCCTCGGCCAGAAAACTTTTCCTCCCACCCTTCTCCAGTCTACCTGGTCAATTCCTCTGCTACCTCTCCATGCTGCCTTTTTTCTCTTCATTCCACCCCACTAGACTTAACAATTCCCCTTCTGCTACTTTTATAGCATTTCCTTATACACTCACTTATTTAGGTACTCATTCTAAGTACCGACCACGTGCCAGGCTCTACACCAGAAATGGGAATAAAATAAAGCCAGGCTAGAACATGCACAGTGCTCTGATTTAGATAGTTTTTTTTAACCTGTGTCTCCGAATAGAGTGTTATCCCCCAAACTTGATTAAACTTTGTCTGCTGGCGATCTACTGCAAATTGTGGCCTATAGTAAGCAAGTAGTCATTTTTACTAAATGATTAATTCAGAAAATCTGCCTATAAAATTTGCCATCACTCCACCCATCTTTCCCCCTTTCAAAGTGCCCCAGGGAACAGGATGAGTGGCTTTCAGCCCATGCCTCTTACCTGGACCACTTGTCCATCGAAGTTCTGCATTCTGTGGACCTTGTGACTCTCACTACACCGGAAGCAATTTGGGGAGAAGCAAGAGATATTTTCATGGTAAGCACTGTGGGGTTCTGGCCCCTCCCCTGTCACCCTCAACTGTGGCCCCCACATACTTAATAACTATTAGGGAAACTCTCAAGGTCAAATATAAGGCAGAATTAGGCCAAGGTGTGAAAGTAAAACAACACAATGAAACCCTTTGACGATTTTCATAGGCTGCCAGAGATGAGACTGGTAGTATTTAGAATCACCAGCACAATACAATAAACCAGAGGGAAAGTTTTTGGTTTTTGTTGTGTGTCTTTTTTTGTTTGTTTGTTTTTTTAGACTAAATGAATAGGACTGAAATAGAGGAGAATTTTTGAAGTTAATCAATTTGGTTAAAAATACAAAACTAATTCAAAGAACTTCTATACATCACAATCAATGCTCATGCACCCTCCACTCCTACCTAGCTAATGCATGGCGCTCAACCTGCCATAGAACATCTTCTCCACAACTTTCCAGTGAGTTCTCGCTGCTTCTCACACACGAGGAACCCTTCTACTGCTCTGTGGATCCATCATTCAAGAAAAGCTTAATGTTTAACACAACAGGGGAAGGGGGTTGCAGGGACTTACCTGTAAATTTCATTTTCGACCACTTTTCTTCCACATTGCCCATAAGCATTGTTTCCCATGCTGAAAACTAAAAAGTAACACCCCAATTAAATCAGTTCTTCAGATTCATGGAATCCTGGACTGTCAGGACTGGAAGGGTGTCTCAAAGTGATCCTAGTCCAACCACTCTAGCTGCCATTTCGTTCCCTTCTCCAACATTCACAACCTGCACAGGCAGAGCCACAGGCATGGTGGGGTCTAGACCTGCCATATCAGTGTGTGCCTCCTTTACTGTCACTTCTGCCCTCCCCTCTGGACTCTAGTTCCACCTCTCAGAAATCCCACCTTACACAAAGTAAGCACCTCCTGTGAAAGCCTCAGCAGCCTCATTTCTTTTTCTTTTTTCTTTTTTTTAATTTAATATATTTTATTGATTTTTTTACAGAGAGGAAGGGAGAGGGATAGAGTTAGAAACATCGATGAGAGAGAAACATCGACCAGCTGCCTCCTGCACACTCCCTACTGGGGATGTGCCCGCAACCAATGTACATGCCCTTGACTGGAATTGAACCTGGGACCTTTCAGTCCGCAGGCTGACACTCTATCTACTGAGCCAAACCGGTTTTGGCAGCACCCCCGTTTCTTAAACCTGTCACTAGGTTGTTCTTGATGCAAAAATTCCTCTGGAAAAAGTTCCTCAACACTCTCTTCACCTTTTCTTACAAATCACACTTAGCCAGAAAATGAAATTTAAAAAATTTTGTCAAGTTGGCCTTTCCCCAGAGACTGCTCTTCTGGAGAGGATGGAGTTACCCAGAAGCCTGGACACTAAAAGCTCCACCACCTGGAAGAAGAGTTAGCAAACTGGCTTCTTTCAGAAGCAGCCCAGCTCCGTGAGTTTATGCAAAGGAAGGGGAGCCTTGATATGGCTGCCTGATATGTGTTGTCACATTTATAGATAACCTGAGATTTTCCAAGAACCACCGAGAGCAGAGAGCATAAAAAATTTAGCAAGGTCTGCCCAATACAGCTCTCTTGAGATCCTATTGCTCTGCTCAGGATATGCCAACAGGCCTGGCTCAAACAAATGGCCTAATGGCAAGAAAGAAGTCCCTCCACTCCTCCATTAGTCCTTACCTCCCTCATTGTCTGTGAGGACAAGAGAGTGGGCTCTGCCACAAGAGACCTGTAGCACCCGTGTGTCCTGAGGTCTGTCCAGAGGCAGTGGAACTGGTGAGGGCTCCAAAACATACTCGTATCCCCTCGCTGAAACAAAAACAATCCGGTTCAATACACTGATTGAGAGTCATAGCACTTCTAACATTAGAAATCATATCATTGAACGGTCTCATTCTTACTCAGTAAGACATCGGAATGACTTTCTCAAGGCACATAAGCTGGTAGCAAAGCTAGGACTGGTTCCCAACTCCAACCCATTGCATCACATTACCTCCACTACACATTGGGTTATTGAAAAGCATAATAGTCTTAGTTAAAAAATCTCTTCCCATGTCATTTAATACCATTTGAATTTTTAAGGAAAGTAAAAGCTTTTTTCTTCCTGAAATACCCACTGAAACTTCTCAGTAAAGTGAACAACAACAAACATTTTCATATTAAGGGAAGCAAAAAGAATATGTAGATGCATTTACATTATATAATTTATATTACATTATGTAGAATATGTAGATGCATTTACATTAAATCACTGTAGGATAACCTGGACACTGTTAACACAGGCTGTCTTCAGGGACATGTGGCTGGGAGGACAGATGTGAAAAGCAGACTTTTCATCATATACTACTATTCTATACTGCCTTTAGAATTCTGAATTATATAAAAAAGAAAATTTTAATATTTCAATAAGAGGAGAAATTTATTAGAAGTCAATCTACAGAAGAACCTTACTGTTCTTTACAATCCTACTAAAGAAGCCAGATTAGTCTATGTAAAGAATTCCTCTTGTAGGTTTTAAATGATGGGCTTTGAATATTTATAATGTAGGCTAGAGGTAAGGAGAAAATCTGCAAATGTACTACTCCTCAACTTAGACCCCACTAAATAAACACTATTTTTCTCTTTTGAATCCCATGCTAAAAAAAAGATTTTGCCTGCCTGGTCGGCATGGCTCAGTGGTTGAGCGCTGATCTATAAACTAGGTCACAGTTCGATTCCCAATCAGGGCACATAGCTGGGTTACAGCCTCAATCCCAGTAGGGGGCATGCAGGAAGCAGCCGATCGATGATTCTCATCATTAATGTCTCTCTCTCTCTCTCTCTCTCTCTCTCTTTCTCTCTCTCTCTCACACACACACACACACACACACACACACACACACAATCCCTTCCTCTCTGAAATCCATCAAAATATATTTAGGAAGGAAAAAACAAAAAAAAAATTGCCTGTCAAATAAATAATTACTGTTATAGCAATAAACCTGCCCATTTGTTTCATTAGTTACTAATACAATTTTCAGACAGAGTTTTTGATCAGCATGGAATAATATGCTTATCACAGTAATATTATATGACTCTAGGCAAAAATCAAAGAGACTAGACAATGTTGTTAGTTTATACAGCCTTATTAGCTGAAAAGATTCAGTACTTTAGAATACTGAAAGGACTCACATGCCTCACTACTATCTTTACAGACCCCTAAAGGTCTGGAAGCTGTAAATACATAACATTTAAAAGGCATATGGCTCTAGATTCAACTACCAAGTGACATGAAATATAAAGGATCATGTTAAGTGGAGATGCAGGCAGCAAACCCCAAACTGAAAAATTCTATAGGATAAACGTGATTTCTTTAATAAGTAAATTTCAAAGAAAAAAGATTAAAACAAACTTAAAAGACTTTTAAAAATCTTATCAACCAATTGCAATTGGTCTGGATCTTATCTGGATTTTGATTCAAATAAAATTTTTAAATATATTTTTATTGGTTTAAAAAATGTGACATCTTACAACTATTAAGACTTCAATACTAACTTAAAAAATAATTCTGATATAAAATTAAGTAGAAAAAAGCAGAAAACAAAGCATATGCTGTGATAAAAATAAAATACATATTTGTATATGAATGAGAAAACAAAAAAATCAAAAGAAAGGTCTATTCTAGTACATATATCTAGGTATTTCTCCCTTAGTTTAAAAAATATCTCTTATTGTTCTTAAAATACTATTTGGCTAATGTGTACTTTTAACAATATTTTTTTTTTTTTTTTTCACAGAGAGGAAGGGAGAGAGATAGAGAGCTAGAAACATCGATGAGAGAGATACATCGACCAGCTGCCTCCTGCACACCCTCCACTAGGGATGTGCCCGCAACCAATGTACATGCCCTTGACTAGAATCGAACCTGAGACCTTTTGGTCCGAAGGCCAATGCTCTATTCACTGAGCCAAACCAGTTTCGGCTAACAATATCTTTATAAATAATTTCTTTATAATGTCATCATAATTTTTTACAATCCAACTGTCAAACAACTGAAATAAAGACTGCATCCTAAGGATTTAATTGAATTTTCCCCCAGACCTAGGTACTGTAAAGTATTTCAGGCTCTCTACAAGCCAGGAAAGAAAGGTCATCTCTTAGGGGTCAAAAAGGAACATCTCCACGCATCAGCAAATGCTTTTTTGCCTAACGGTTCAATTTAATTACACCAATGGGGCTGAAAAACACTCTAGTTCAAATGGTTTCAAACAACATCCTTCAAGACTGCATCTATGTTGTTATGCTTTGGTGTATGTAATGACTATTGGTCCGATGCACAGATTCAGGTACATTGAAAGGAAATTAATTAGAAGAAATATTCACCCTTTCTCTAAAATAGAAATGTCAACCAAATTCATGATCAACAATGACAGATCAAAACACATATGTGCAACTGGCACTAGCAAAAGCTTTCTATGTATTAATTTAGCCTTTTATATGTATAGAATAAACTTCCTTAATTAGAACTGTTTTCTGATTTAAACTTTTTCCAGCTCAGGGAAGCACCCCAACTTCTCTTACAGGTAATTGTCAGCAATACAGCATGAAGCACATTATTATTGTAGATCACACAGGGAGAACAAAGGGTAAAATGTTTAACTGCAGCAGTGTTTGACTATATTCTACACGGTGAGAAAATCTGAAGTCATTTTCAAGGTCCACTGTTCCTTACTTCTTTTCAGTCGGGTTAAGTTTCTAAACTTTCTAAATCTTCGTTTTCCAGCTAATGAAAAGAAAATAGGATTCTACCAAGTCTCCTATCTACCTACTCCAGGACTTCTATGAAGATCAAATGAGATGAGGCACGGAAAAACGCTTCACAGACGTTTGGTTAAAGTGTAAAATGTTTGCACCTGGTATAAAGCAAATTGTGTTCCTGGGCTGAAGAAACTCCAAGGAGGCTAGTTGTCACTAGGGAGAGGAAGGCGGGCGTTGCTACATGACGTCATTACCTGGTGCCCACAGCCACCATTTTTGGGCTGGGCTGTGGAACGCATTTTATGCCATGGGGTCTCGGCAGCCTCGGTTACAATTTGATGGACTGTCACACCAGGGTGGTGTTGGGGCCTGTGTCTCACTTGGAGGAAGCAGAGTGTTGCTTTGTTGGCACCAGGTCCCTGGTGCCGTTTCTTTGTAAATGGCCAGTGCGTGTCACAGCAGCTCCTGCATTGAGCATCTGGTGGTCAGTGTGTGTCAGTGACCAGTCAGATGGTCGGAGGGACACTTATCATATTAGCCTTTATATATATATATATATATATATATATATATATATATATATATATATATATATATAGACACCCATGAAAATCCAAAGGGAGTTCTCAGACCAGTAACAGCAGAAAAAAGCCAAGGTGAGAATGCTCACTTTTATCTTTCCGGCTCCTGTGAAATCCAAGCTGAGAATCTTTGTTGAGGCCCATACCCCAAACTTTCGTAACATCTTTGGTTTTCGAGGACAGCAACGTGAATCCATAGCCACAAGCAGCTGATGAAATCTGAAAAAGAGTTCCCATAAGGCATTAACTGACTTGTGATACCAAGTTTTATTCAGCAATTTATGACAGGTAACTTATCCAATTTAAGAACATCTACTGTTAATATAGCAACATACTGTTAATTTTTTTTTTTAAAAAAAGCCCACAAATTGGCAGAAAATATCTGCACACATCATACATGTGATTAAGGACCTATAGCCAGAATACATCCAAAACTCTTACAGCTCAATATTAAGAGGTAAACAACCCAACTTTTCATTCAACTTGAGTTTAAATTCCTTTATCTTGAGCTCTCCAGTTTGTTATCCTTGACAAAAGTTAGGAGCCAAACTGGTTAAACCTGTTTCTCTTTCACCCCCCACCAAGATTCCCACCAGCATCCATCCCTAAGCCTCCCTTTTGAAAACTCTCCGGGTGCTGGCTTCCGGGATAAGCCGGGCTGAAGCGATCCTGTGCTGTGATCTATTCCAATCCGAGACCCTGTGCAAATCACTCTGGTGTGCCCGGCCCACTCACCCTTCCTCTCTCATTCCTGTTACCGCTCCAGCTAGCATTTCCTTGCCAGTTCTTTACCGACCCCAGCCTGATGGCTCTCCCAAATGCTGAAGGCAAACCACTTCTTCCCTCCACTGCTTCCTTTTTTTTTTTTTTTTTTTTTTTTTAATTATTCTCTTTCTATTGCTGGATACCCGGAACTAATCTAGCTTGAATATACTCCCAAGGCCAGCTGGCCCACATTTTCTCTGACCTTTTGAAGTCGCCTTTCCTAAACCGGAACTTCTGGAGTCTCAGGGGTCCCAGTGCGAATCCCACTGTACGTGCCCCTACCTGCTGTGGGGTCTGGGACTTGTCCCTTAACCTCTCCGAACCTCCCTTTCCTTCCGTGTAACTGGGGGGGCAACCCCGACTCCCGGGGTGACGTGCGGATGACACGGGCGGGCCACAACACCTGGCACAGGTCAGCCGCTCGGCGGATGTTGGCGGCGCCCCTAGGCCCACCCCTCCGGGGCCCACTGCCGGCTCGGGGGCCGTCCTCCCGGCAGTGGGACCACCCAGCGTCGCTAACTCCTCCGCGAGGACCCCGCGCCTCGGGAGGGTAGGGAGGGAGCGGCGGCCCGCACCTTCTGGTCCAGCTCCAGGCGGTAGGGCACGGGCTGGATCCTGCGGCGCGGCCGCGAGCCGGCGCGGGGCCCGGGTCCGGAGCCGGGCAGCACGAAGGTGGGCACGCCCAGCGCCCCGGAGAAGCTGAAGCCCCACACGAAGATGCGGTCCACACGGGCCGCGCGCTCGCCCACGTACTGGAACACGGGCGCGTCCGCCTCGGCCTCCGCCGCCTCCCGCCGGCTCCGCGAGCGCCAGGCCGCCGTCCAGTGCCCCCGCGCCGGCCCCGGCCCACACAGCCAGCGCCCCGGCCGAGAGGCCGCCGCCAGCGCCGCCAGCGCCATCCTCTGCTTCTCGCCTCAGCGGCTCCTGGGCGCCGCCATCTTGCGTGACCCTTGACCCCACGCCCCGGCGGAAGAACCCGCGACCATGTTTCCTATTGGCTGAAGGCAAACACAGAGGCCGGAGGCCGAGCGAGCCGTCGGTGGGGACCGGTGCCCTCCCTGCCCGAGCTCCAGCCGGCGGCCTGAATTCACTCCCCTTCCCGCACAATGTATGTGTGCTGAGCATCTTTTTTTTTTTTTTTTTTTTTTTTTTTTTTTGTGCTGAGCATCTTTCATGTTTTTGCAAGGCTCTTCACTTCTTAGCAATCAGCGAGAATAAAACGTAAGGGCTGGCCCACTCTGAGCAACTCCAGTGGAGTGCTCTCCCCTACCCTGTTTTATTACTCCTGTGGCCACTGTCCCTAGTAATTTCTTACCTAAGTTGCAGCTATTCCTGCTCCCTTTAGCTACTAAGCCACTCAGTCTGTGCTCCCGCCACAGTGAGATAGAATGTAGCTTAACATTGTCGTTCACTGCGCAACAGCCTGCAGCGATTCCAGCTGGCCTCCCCGGCCTCCCCTCCACCTGTACTTCATCTGAGTCAGGTGTTTATAGTTGGGATTTTGAAACCCCGTGCTGTTTTCAGGCCTCCCTACTTTGCCCACTGCCTCCTCTCCCTGCACATTCTGACAAACTCCTCTTCATCTCCTGACATCCAACTCCAGCACCTCCTTTGAAGTTCCACGAAGGCAGGAACTTCAGTTTATTCAGTTAATTCTCAACAATTTTGTATTAGTGTAACATGCAGCCAGAAACTCATGAATGAATAACACATGAGTGTACAGACCTGGCTTTCAGTCCTGACTCTGCTACTAACGTGCTACATGGTGTTAGGAAATTGTCTCCCTTCTCTGGATCTCACCACCAAAATAAGAAAGTTAAAAAAATTAAGACTAAATGGATCATCATCATCCCCCCCCCCCCCCCCCATAAATAAGGTGTTTGGGCTTTTTGGCCTGCGGGATCTCTTGAAGCCCATTATGATCCACGAGGGTGTTCCCAAATACTAGTCCCAAATGCTGAAGGCAAACTATTTCTTCCCTCCATTTCTTTTTTCTTTCTTTCTTTCTTTCTTTCTTTCTTTCTTTCTTTCTTTCTTTCTTTCTTTCTTTCTTTCTTTTCTCATTCTCTTTCTATTGCTTGATACCTGCAACTAATCCACTGGAATATACTCCCAAGACCAGTTCGAGTTACTTTGTTGTCCTGGAATGTGCCTTGTATTCAGTCTGTGAAACACGTCTTTACTGCTGCAGAGAAACGTGGTTGATGTTTTACTGTTCTGTGGGGCTGTGTTATAGAGGTGCTGAGGGAAAACTGATAAAATGTGGTAGCCATGAGACTGCTCCTCGGAGGTCTCCAGCTACAGGGAATGGAAATAGTCAAAGCTACGTGATCAAGAGTCTGCTAGGCTATCAACTCTATCCTCTGTTTGCACTGAGGTCACGCTTCCCTTGAACTGCTCCCAGTGACTGAGCAAGGCAGGAATACACACTCCCTTTCCCTTCCTCTCTCTAAAGTCAATAAAAATATATTTTTTAAAAATATGTCCCTTATTATTTCCCAAAGGAACCTGTGGTTATTTACCAGAGTTAACTACACACTGGATAAGGAGAATACCAGATCTTCCAGAACAGCTACAGGGTCTGTGGTGACACTGACACCATAGGACCTGAAATACCAGCAAGGTCCCAGTTGGAGGGGGAGCTGTGGAGCCAGAAAGCATTACATCAGAAAGCATACTGCATCCCAGGTGGGATTGTGGCCTGGAGCACCATCTTCAAAGATATAAGGATTCAGGAGTGATAGTTCCCATCAAATCCCCATGCAGTTCACCTGCTTGGCTCCTGAAAAAATGAGGTGGATTATGGCAGATGATTGTAAACTACTATAAACTTAGCTAGGTGCACAGCCCAATCATAGCTGCTGAGTCAGGAGTAGCAGTCTACTGGGACACATCAACACAGCTCTGGGAACTTCCTAGGGATATGATCTGGTGAATGAGTTCTTCTCAATGCCAGTGATAAAGAGGATGAAAGGCAGTTTGCCTCTATCTGGGAAGGACCATATTACTCATTAATTCTCCCTGCTCCCACTTCTGATACCTCCCAAATAAGAATCTGTGTACAAGACTGTTTCCAGCTCTGCTTTTATTGATGAAGCTGAGACATATAGTGGTTCAGGAGGGTTACATAAATATTATGAAAGAATTATGTAAATATGTACTAGGATTCTCCAGAGAAACAGAACCAATAGGAGAAAAGTCCACTATCTGCTCTCTGGAAGCTGGACTCAGGAAAGCCCATGGCATACAGTATTCCAGTCCAAATACAAAGGCCTGAGAACCAGGAGCAACAGTGGAGTAAGTCCTAGTCCCAGGGCAACTCAAACCATCAAGCAGAGAGAGGAAATTCAACCTTCCTTTGTCTTTTTCTTCTATTTGGCTCTCAGTGGGTTGGATGAGGCCCACACATTGGGGAGAGCAATTTTCTTTACTCAGTCCACCAATTCAAATGATAATCTCTTCCAGAAACTCCCAAAAATAATAGATAGGTTATCTATCCTATGGCCTAGTCAAGTTGACACACAAAATTAACCATCTCGCCCTAGCTAGTTTGGTTCAGTGCATAGAGTATCGGCCTGCGAACTAAAGGTTCCCAGGTTCAACTCTGGTCAAGGGCGCATGCCTGGGTTACAGGCTTAATCTCCAGTGGGAGAAATGCAAGAGGCAACCAATCAATGTTCTCTCATCATTAATATTTCTATCTCTCCCTTTCCCTTCTTCTCTAAAATCAATAAAAATATATATTTTTTAAATTCACCATCTCAATTATTAATAGTTATGAGATATTTATATGTGTATGAAATAAATATACAATTTTCAACTTTTTTCATAAGCAGGACTGTCTCTGTATATTTCATGGCCTCTCTGATATTTTGTTTTAAATATCTGTTCTTTTACAAACTAGTAATGCCAGTAGAAGGTAGGCTTTTTTAAAATTTTTGTCAGAAACAGCTAAGATCTGGAAACAGTCCAAGTGCCCATAAGTAGATAAATGGATAAAAAAGCTGTGATACAGTTCTACCATGGAATACTATACAGCAGTAAAAAAAGGATCTCTTACCCTTTGAGACAGTATGGAGGGACCTGAAGAGTATTAATAAGTCAGAGAAAGGCAAGTATCATATGATCTCACTCATATGTGGAATCTAATGAACAAAATAGCCGAAGCCGGTTTGGCTCAGTGGTAGAGCGTCGGTCTGCGGACTGAAAGGTCCCAGGTTCGATTCCGGTCAAGGGCATGTACCTTGGTTGCGAGCATATCTCCAGTAGGGGGTGTGCAAGAGGCAGCTGGTCGATGTTTCTCTCTCATCGACGTTTCTAGCTCTCTATCTCTCCCTTTCTCTCTGTTAAAAATCAATAAAATATATTTAAAAAAAAAAAAAAAAAAAAAAAAAAAAAAAAAAAAAAAAAAATAATGAACAAAATAGATCCAGACATAGAAGCATGGAGCAGGCTGGGATCACAGAGGGAAGGCAGAGGTGAGTGGGTGGGTGGGTGGGAAGAGATCAACCAAACTCCTATGCATATATATCCATGGACACAGACAATAGGGTGGTGAAGGCCTAGGGTGGGGACAGACAGGGGTCAATGAAGAAGAGGGGGAGAGGGGGGGACTTATGTAATACTTTCAACAATAAAGATTTAATTTAAACAATATTTGCCATGATTTTAAAATTTATAACTGTAGGTGGGTCTCTTGAATTTTTAAAACGTTTTACTTTTCTTTTTAAAAAAAATATATTTTATTAATTTTACACAGACAGGAATTGAGAGGGATAGAGAGTTAGAATTGAGAGTTAGAATTAAGAGGGAAAGAGAGAAACGTTGACCAGCTGCCTCCTGCACACCCCCACTGGGGATGTGCCCGCAACCAAGGTACATGCCCTTGACCGGAATCGAACCCGGGACCTTTTGGTCCGCAGGCCGACGCTCTATCCACCGAGCCAAACTGGTCTTGGCAAAACGTTTTACTTTTCACGTATATCCAAAATACAGAACCTTTGGTTTGAAATTTGGAGGATAAAAGGGTGCAGTGACAAACTGATTGTGAACTACAGCCACTAGGTGGCGATGCTTGCCTATCAATTCTGTGGCTCCTGTTAAGGGAGAAACAGGGTAAAAGAGGCTAAAAGCCAGTTTCTTCCAACGAAGAACTGGACTTGAAGTCACAACTGAGCTTTCATATTTTACTATAAAAGTCTAGTTGGTTTTATATACAGGCTATATGCTGGTAAATACAGTGCTTGCATTTTTGTCCAATTTGTTGCTTGGAAAACATTACACCAACAGCAGAGTATCAGCTACCCAAAGTACTAAAATGTCTGCTGTTAGCCAAGCTAAATTTCCCCATCACGAGTAATGACATGTTGCTACAGATGTCCTCATTTCTTTGTTAATTTGGAGTAGTTATAATTCTCTAATTTTGGAAAAAGTGAACCTAATTAGTCTTATTTTTTAATAACTTTCAATTATTCATTAATGTATGATTTTTACCTTTTTTTTTTAAGGAAATGATCTTTTTTAAAAAATATATATTTTATTGATTTTTTACAGAGAGGAAGGGAGATAGATAGAGAGCTAGAAACATCAATGAGAGAGAAACATCGACCAGCTGCCTCTGGCACACCCCCCACTGGGGATGTGCCCGCAACCAATGTACATGCCCTTGACCGGAATCGAACCTGGGACCTTTCAGTCCGCAGACCGACGCTCTACCACTGAGCCAAACTGGTTTCGGCTGATTTTTACCTTTATAAAAACATTAATAAAACACTATGTATGGATAAGTCAAAAGTCCCTTTAACTACAGCCCCACATATATCTGGTGGAACAGAAAAATATTATTTTAGTGTGTGTGTGTAAGTTTGAAGAAAATTGGAATAATATGTACTTCATTCTG